GACAGACAGACAGACAGACAGACAGACAGACAGACAGACAGACAGACAGACAGACTTTTGTGACAATTGCAGCGCAATAAGGTCAATGACATACAAGTTAGAACCGAATATTTGGGGTGTTACAAGAGAAGAAGTAACCCCAAAAAGAAGGAGGAGAGATCAGGAAGACTGATGTTTGATAGGAAAGGAACAAGCCAAATGAGAGCACCCGCCAACCACATGCTCATCTTCCCATAGGAATTTAAGGACAAATTGTTTTAAGAAGCTGCCTCTCAGGACCGTTAAGTAGGCCAAAATTTTTCCCAATTTACGTATTTCATTTTTCTTTCAGTTTTCCTTTTAAGTGTCGCTCTATCCATATATTGCATAAACCTATTTGTAATGGTTCTTAATTAACAGTTATTAAATTTCCCATTTAAGCTTTTCGCTGTTTCTGATATTTCCCTATAAGAATGTTTCCTTATTCATTTTGTCTCCGGCAGGATGTGGTTTCAGAACCCAGGAAACCAACTGTGCGAGCTCATAATGACCTTTTGCAGTTGTGAGCTCCGCAAAACACTTACCATAACAAAATACCAAAAACTGTCTGTCTTCAAATTCTGATCGATTTTTTTGCTTCTCAAGGTTTTCAACTCGACTTTTCAGTCATCTCATGAGTCTTCCAATTTCGTGGGTATCTTTCAAAATGTGTTATTCTCTCTTTTTTAAAACTCGTATAAAGTTCATGGTAGTTATCAAAATTCCTTCCAGAAGAAGATTCTCAATTCCCCTAAAATGTACTACTGTAACGACAATTCCAACGATTAGAACCAAGTCCAGAAATTACTTTAAAATTGTTTTGGGGCGATTTGAAAAATCTCTGCGCACTGCTGAACTACCGCTTAATAGTAACCGAAAAGTCGTAATAACAGCATAATTGGTTCGGCTTTAGTCATACAGAAACTTTTATTTAAACAATATCCGATACAATCGAAGAAAACTATTTTCGCCACCTGAGTATCACAGAAAAAAAGATGATTGTTCTGCAATTCTGACGGGTCGAGCACAAAGAGAGATATAGCTATTTATTTGTACTAAACCCCGACCTTTTGATCAAAGTTTCGTGAACTTGAAGTTATCATCTTAATTTTTTTAAAGAGTGAATTTGGTAAGGTGTACGCATCATATATGTGGGCATAAGGAACGAAGAGCGTGTGGTGAGGAGGGGGGGGGGGGCTATTAGTCGATCTTCCGGGGTCTTTTTTTTTACACCGTTTAGAATGACAACCCTGCCACCATAATAATATTATGAGTTTGCTCTGTCGATAGTTCTCGCCGAGCGTTGAGAGAGAATTTATAATGAGTCCTCCCATCGTTAATCGCTCGCTACAGGCGTTGTGGAAGCTTACCCGGATGCGGATAAAAACCTTAATCAGAGGACAATAATTGTTTGCGTGAGAAAGGTATAAGAGCTTGATTCGGCATAATGAGTTTACACACGATTTAAAGCCCTCTGAATGTCAAAGCAATATATAATAATAATATATTATATTACAAGTCTTCTGAGACACTTTCTGGGAGAAATACACTTGTGAAAGATTTGCAGCAACTGATTATATACACTTTTGGTAATATGAGACTACAAAGATGGTTCGTGGAATATTCTGGGTACTGACAGAATAGATTCTAATTTGTTTCCACTCTATAAATTCTTTGGCCCTTACAATTTTGGATCACTGTAGATTTTGGCTTACATTGGAGCGTTTGACAGCTCAAAAGGTGATTTGATTTTTCCCCACATATTATTATATGGACTCTCAAAAATGCCAAGGTTGGGTGCACGATGGACTTGTCCGTAAACACATCGAGGTCAAACACTTTGGTGACTTCAAGTACGGCCCACTTCATACGTTGGTGTGTATAGGTGTGTATAAATAGGGTCCATTGCTTTGGTGTGATAAAGTGAGTATGAATAGGGTCCAAAGCACTCTTGAGTATTTGTTTGAGTTTGACGGAGTAGTAAAGAGAAGCATATTGCCACTAGAATAGTTATAATTAGTGCTGGGAAAAGTAAGACACTGACGGGAAGAAAGTTGTTGAACCTACTAGTGTTGCCCTCCAACCACCCACACACTTGAGTGCGTGTGTAGATAGATAATAGGCTTTACCACAAGCTTCCCTTTGAGACTGTCCACTATAAAGACACTGTTGTTTACGATACACATCACATTGGTGGAGGCTCAGTTGGTGGTTTGTGGGTGCTCAGGTGTTGTTTGAAATTGTTTTCCTATCAAAACATTATCCGTCCAAATTCATTTCTTGTTATGATTATCTCGTTACACCTCTAATCTTGAGCACTTATATGACCTATTATTAGTGTTGCAAGTGCCGCAAAACTCTTATTAAAGCAACAACAACAATAAAAAAAGGAAGGAGGAGAAGGAGGTTCTGGTCCGCATCTTGAGCGGCCGATGAGCGGCGGTGAGATGAAGCCCTTCAACATCTCTGAACCGCCCGGACCCCCCGTGAGCGAAGCCCCGCACTTCCTGGTTATCCCCGACATCGAGACAATCTTCAAAGCCATGACCAGCATCAACCTGCTCCTCGCGTCCTTCGGCATCTTGACCAACTCAATCAACATTGCTGTATTCGCCAGGGGACGAATAACAGACACTTCTACCTCCGTCACGCTCTTCGCTCTATCCCTGGCCGATCTGTCGTTCGTGGTGTTCATCTTTATCTGGACTTCTATCCGCGAGTTATCCTACATGGATATAAGATTCGGGGTCCCCAAACAAGTTCTAACTTTCTACGTCAGCGCGCTATCGTTACTCAGCTACACCCTCTCCTCCTTCCTCACAGTTTTCCTGGCAGTTCAGAAATGTTGCTGCGTCGTGTTCCCGCTGCAGGTTAAGGATATGTTCACACTGAGGAGGACTGTACTCATCCTACTCACTCTGTCTATCCTCACCACCACCTTCTACATGCTGTTACTCACAGCTGGAAAGTTTCTCCCGAGGGTGAATCCGAAAACAAACACGAGCGAGATGGCTCTGGTCAGTTCGCCGCGGCAGTTAGAAATAATCCAGGTGGTCATCAACATCTCTCAAAACGTCGCCCCATCCCTCTCTCTCATCATCGTGATTCTCTGTTTCGTCGTTCTGGTTCATCGTCTGAAACAATCCTCGAGATTTCGACACCGGTCTGAGATGGGATATACAAAAGACTCGTCTGATTCCAAGTCCACCACCACCACCACCACCACCACGTCCACACGTCACCACACTGACCTCCCCCATCACCAGCTGTCGGGAAAAGACCTGCAGGCGGCTCAGTCAGTTGCTGTGGTGGCGGCCATGTTTGTCGTCTGCAACATCCCGCCCGTGATGATGACGTATGCGTCCCTCGTGGAGCCGGAGTTCAACGACTACAGACGTCTCTGGTCGCTCTACGCGCTCTCGGGGATCGGCCGCACCACGCTACAGATTCTCTGCTGCTCCCTCAACCTTGTGGTCTACGTCAGGTACAACGCCACCTACCGGCGGGGACTCGCGGAACTGTGCTGGGTGGTCAAGGTCACCTCGAAGAGACCTTGAGACCAGTGGCAGGGCATCGCGAAGGGCTAAAATGCAAGGCTAGAGCCCCCC